GCGGCGAGACAGGGACCCAGGCGCGCGCCGCCCGCTTGTACACACAGGCCCGTGGGCCGCAGGGGTGTGGGCAGGTGGCGCACACCTGTGCCCTCCCCTCACAGCGGCCCTGGGGATGCTGGAGTTCGACCTTCTCTACGACCCGGCCTCCTGCACGCTGCACTGCAGCATCCTCAGGGCCAAGGTGGGCGCCGTCTCCCCGTTGCCTCCAAGGGGCACCGCACGACCGGGACCCAGATTTTCCGGGGAGGCCGAGCCCACCACCCTCTTCCCGTCCCCCAGGGCCTCAAGCCTATGGACTTCAATGGCCTCGCCGACCCCTACGTCAAGCTGCATCTGCTGCCCGGTGCCTGCAAGGTGCTGGTCTCCCTCTGCGGCCTTGCCGGGTTCTCCACACTTCCCTCAGCAGCCCCTCCAGGATGTCTGGGGGACACACATCACAGCCCTCTGTCCACACCCAGGCCAACAAGCTAAAAACGAAGACTCAGAGGAACACGCTGAATCCGGTGTGGAACGAGGACCTGACCTACAGTGGCATCACGGAGGAAGACATCTCCCACAAGGTGCTCAGGTGAGCGCGCCCCCTGCCGCCCAGCCTCTCCAGGACAGTAGTCCTGTCGCCTGGGGTTCCCTGACCTCCCTCCGCCCCAGGAAGCCCCTACCTCGCTGCTGCTGCTCAGGTACGTTTAGTGGCTCTCAAGCCCAGACCCTCCCTGCACGGCTGCTGTTCGCTCTTTCCCACCTTTGCCTGTGTCTCTTCCACCTGGAGAGCTGTCAGCTTCCTCCCAGACCCCACTCAAACTGCGCAGGTGCAGGACAAGTTCACCTCCTCCAGGAAGCCTGCTGTCCAGCAGGGCCCTTCCCAGACCTGACTACATACAGCCTGGTGTATGCAAGGGCCATCTCTCCTGTCCTCGGGTCCCCTAAACCTAGGGGGAAGTTTTCAGGGCCAGGGAACTTGATGTCATCCCAGGAGGTGGAGGGGGGGGCCCAGAACCCCTCAGGGCATCAGGGCCCACAACCTGGCTCAACAGACCTGTTTTGAGCAGTAGGGAGCCCCCAAAGGGCTGCCCCTCAAAGGTGCAAGGTTAGGGCTGTTGTGCCTCAGTCTCCTGGTGTGGGGGGAAGGACAGAGGTAGAAAACAGAAAGTCTGCCCTGTGTTCAGAGGTAAGAGTGTGAGGCCTGGGGCATAACCGAGCTTTCCTAGTGACTATCTTCCCACGTCTTCACCTTGCTTGCCCCGATGCATGATGCCTTGGGAGGTGAGCACTGCAGATGATGACTGAGGAGGCCGAGTGGCTTGCCAGGGTCACACAGTGGCTATAGTATAAGTGGCAGGGCTGGGATTTCCACCCCACATGCTATGGCTGCTCAAGTCACTGGCGGGGGCAGCAGTGGCACAGGGCTACAGGAGCAGGTGGAAGAAAGGCGGCCCTTTAACTGCTGGATGGTGCCCAGCGGGCCCACCCTGGTGAAACCCTCCTGCTCACACGGCCTGCACACAGGACTCAGGCGGGCTCTCCAGGACTCTTGAGGGCTTCCTGCAGCAGCTGGGCAGGACACAGGCCCAAGATGAGGCAGAGAGCAAGGGCAAGTGGGGACTGGCCTGGGGACCTTCCTCCCACCTGGGGGGCTGAGTTGCTCGGGACGCTGACATGCAGCCCCCCCAGGATCTCCGTCTGTGACGAGGACAAGCTGAGTCACAATGAGTTCATCGGGGAGATCCGAGTACCCCTGCGCCGCCTCAAGCCTTCGCAGAAGAAGCACTTTAACATCTGCCTTGAGCGCCAGGTCCCGGTCCGTGGGAGCTGTGGGGATGCCTGTGGGGAGGCTGGGGGCCAGGTTGCCAGGACATCTTCTCTGTCCCCTCAGCTGGCGTCACCCTCCTCCATGTCTGCAGCACTGAGGGGAATCTCCTGCTACCTGAAGGAGGTGAGGCACCTCAGAGAGACAGTAGCCACTCGGAGGTAGGGGTGGACCAAGGCTGACTGGGGTCTTCCCTGCAGCTGGAGCAGGCTGAGCAGGGACCTGGGCTCCTGGAAGAGCGTGGGCGCATCCTGCTGAGCCTCAGCTACAGCTCTCAGCGCAGAGGGCTGCTGGTGGGCATTGTCCGCTGTGCCCACCTGGCTGCGATGGACGTCAATGGCTACTCTGACCCTTATGTGAAGACGTAAGCTCTCACTGCAAGGCCCTCCCTAGGGAGCGTGGCCCATCTGGCTGGCCCTCACTGCACGGCTCCCCCTGCCCAGGTACCTGAGGCCAGATGTGGACAAGAAATCCAAGCACAAGACGTGCGTGAAGAAGAAGACGCTAAACCCAGAATTTAATGAGGTGATTAGGAAAGGGACCAGAAATTGAGGCAAACTGGGAGAGGACAGGCTGGAGAGGCCTGACGGTGGGGTTGGCCCCTCTTGTTCTCAGGAGTTCTTCTATGAGATAGAGCTCTCCACTCTGGCCACCAAGACTCTAGAGGTCACCGTCTGGGACTATGACATTGGAAAATCCAACGACTTCATAGGTGAGCAGGGGGGAGACGGGGCGCGGGCCGGGGCTGGTGGGTGTGCTCACTCTTCCGCCTGTCCAGGGGGCGTGTCGCTGGGCCCGGCGGCACGTGGGGAGGCCCAGAGACACTGGAGCGACTGTCTGCAGCAGCCCGGTGTAGCCCTGGAGCGCTGGCACACCCTGACGAGTGAGCTGCCCCCTGCTGCTGGGACACTGCCCTTGGCCTGACTGGCGCAGGTGCCCGCACAGGCTCCCGTGCCCGGCTCCGCACGAATGTCTTGCACGTTTACACAGGGTGGACCTCCGCCCCATCCTGCCCCTCGACCGTGGGTCCGTCTGCTGTGAGGGCCTGGAGGTCACACTCACACACGCAACTCCCCCGACACTCTCGCTCGCCCGCGCCAGTACACACTGCCTGCTGACACCCTGGGAGCGCAGCCCTGCTCTGGCCCTGGCCGCAGGAGGACGTTGGATCAGGGGGTCAGGGAAGGTTTGGAGGAGGCTGTTTCCCAGACAGACAAGAAAAAGAACGGCTCCTTCAACGCAACCTTCATTAAATCTCCCACCCTGACAGCTGCCATGACGGGGCTGGCCTGCGCCACAGGTGGTCTGCGTCCAAGGGCAGCAGGTGCTCCTGGGCCACTCATTCAAACAGCTGTTCCCGGGGCCTGCCACCTTCCCAGGGACACATGTGCATGTTTACGCCTTTTCCGATCATGTCAGTGGCCAAAGCATGGCAACCGGGCGCCAATAAACGTAAGGACACCAGGCCGTGTGCGGTCACTCAGGGATGTCGATCACCAGGTCATCGTCCCCATCCAGGGCATCGTCCCCACTGCCTGCGTCGCTGAACATCTGCCGAGGGACGGTGCTCAGGATCGTGTGTGGGGGCATCTTGGGAGGGGGTAGCGGGGGCAGGGCCCCGACCCCAGCCCCAGGGCCCCGAGCAGCAAAGGTCAGCGGCCCACCCACGGAGCAGTCGGGGGGTCCCACCGCCATCTACAGCAGGGAAGAAACAGGGACTGGTCAGTGGCATGGACCTCCAGGTGGGTGCGGCAGTCAGCCCTGCAGTTTCTGGCACCCACGGTGGGTGAGGGGGGTGCGTGGAATGGAATCAGGCAGAAGGCTGTGCCTGCCCATCCTGGAGCCTGCATGGAGCCTCTCCACTGGCTGGAGAAGCATCACAGGCCGCCTAAGCTGTGAGCCTGGTCCCTCCTTTGTCCCCAGAAGCTTCATTTCCTCCTGGACAGGCCCCTCCTGGGGTCCCACGGCACCAGCCTGCCCAGGGCCAGCTCCTCCTGAAGCCAAGGGTTGCTCTACAGCAGAACTGAGGGCTGGGCAGGGGGCAGGTGCCCGATGACAGCCCAGCCCCTCCACCCCCAGCCTCCCTGCCAGGCCCCCGCAGTCCTCACTGCACATTGCTCTGGCTGTCAGCAGCAGCCTTCATACCCTGAGGGCACAAACCTGGTGGTGCTCAGACTGCAGGGACGGCTGTGGGAGGCCACAGGCCTGAGTCTGGCAGCTCTAAGGCACTGAAGGCAGGACCTGGCCTGGGCTGCAGGGCCCTCCCATGCCTGCTCTGGCCTGGCCAGGCCCCGCTCATCTGTGGGTGGTGGTGGTGAGAGTGGCTCAGGTGGCCCTAGTCCTGAGCAACCTGCGCCAGGCCCGTGTGCACACAAGGGGATACATAGGTGACCGGATGGGACAGCTCCGTGTGCACTGTCACCTCTTCTGGCTACCACTTTAGGGTCCCCACCTGTCCCCGACATCCTGCCCTGCCTGGACTTCCTCAGTGTGACCAAGGGCAGCTAACGTGCTTCTGCGGCTTGCTAGGGCTCAGTGTTCCCTGTCCCTCAACTCCTTTTAGTTTCATGCGACTGCCTGAAGCAACTGAGGCTCTTGGGTGACTTGCCCACGATGCAGGAGTATGTGGAAGAGCTGATGAAAGCCCAGCGGGCTTATTTATCTTGGATATGGGGTTTTGCTGTTGAACTGGCTGGCCTTGAACTCCTAGACTCAGGTGATCCTCCTGCCTCAGCCTTCTGAGCATCTGGGACTACAGATGTGTGCCACTGTATCTGTACTGAGTGACTGCGTCAGCCTCAGTGCCCATCTCCCATCTGTTTCCTACCCAAGCCCTGAGGGACTCCACTTCCTTGACAATGGGACAGCTCACGATCTGGGAGTCCCAGCAGCCTCTTCCCCAGTCCACTGCCTCTTCTGCCCAACTCCAGCTGCAGTCCCACCACGTTGTCTCCCTCCCCTATTCCGGCCTCAACCTGCAGGACCAGGACCAGATGCCACCCTGGTCCCTCCCTCATGTTTCTTCCCTGGCCAACATCATCTGCGGGGTTCTCTGAGCCTCAGTGCCCGATGCTCTCCATGCAGGGCAGGCTGCAACCCAAGAGCCTGTCCATCCCCCTCCCATCTGCTCGGGGCTGCCCTGACCCTCATCTTTTCACCATCTGCCTGAGGGGCCAGTACTGTGTCTTCATGATGCTGAAAATGAACCCAGGGCCCTGTGCGTGATAGGCAGGTGCTCTGCCACTGAGCCTACTCTGGTCACTAGGGACACAGCATCTGGTTTGATTCTGCTTCAGGGCCCTGAGAGCAGACCAGCCTGGTCCCTGCTCAGTGCTGACTGCGTGCCGAACGGCACTGTGCGGTTAGGCATCTTCAGCTGCTCCTCACCGCTCCTGGGGCCCTGTGCGTGCCCTCATCCTTCATCCACCTTGCCGTGGACCCCCAAGGACACGTCATGGTGAACTCTGGGCTCCCCAAGGCAGCTGCCTGGCCACATTCCAGACAAGATCTCCACATGCTGCAGGCCAAACTCCTGCTCCTCCCAGTGCCCTGTCCGAAGAAGACCTCTCCCATCTCCCTAGGAAGACTGAGAGTCCTGGCCATCACTCCCTCTCTCACAGCTATACCTGGAAGCCACTTCTCCAGAACGGTCCCCTGGTCCACTCTACCCGCCGGAGTTGCTGGGTTTCTTCAGTCACAGCCTCACTGCCATCTAACTCATCTCAGCCCCACAACCCGCTGTTGCCTCTAGAGCAGTGGTGGCAACGTGACTAAAATGTCAACCGGGGCAGATCTGCCACCCTTGCTCCACTGGCTCCTACTTCACAGGACACGCCAGTCCTTCCAGCACTCCGAAGGCCTGCTCTCTGCCACTCTGCGGCCAAGCACGCATGCTCACCCGGCCTTCCCCAGCTGTGCCTGACCAGCTCCTTCCCAGACAACTTATGGCTGGCTCTCATTTCCTGTCTGCTTAAGCAGCACCCTGATCACTGTACTGCAAAGGGCTCCCCAACCTTCAGCCCCACAGGATCCCTTTTTTGGACTGCTTTTCTGCACAGGGACCTGACTCATCTTGTCTATCTTCTGCTCAGCTTGCAAGAAGTGAGCTCAGGGGACTGTCTTTGTTCATGCTGCTAAGTGGAACACCTGGGGCAGTGTGCGGTGAGCCCACCTCTTCTGATTGCTATTACACACCCTGACCTAGGGGCTACAGAGGGTCAGAGAGGCCTGCTCCAAGTCATGTCTGTTTGTTTTGTTTTTTGTTTTGAGCAGGGTCTCACTATGTAGTTGAAACTGACCTGGAACTTACTGTGTAGCCCAGGCTGGTCTGGAACTCAGCATCATCCTGCCTCAGACTCCCAAGTGCTGGGATTACAGGCGTGTACAACCACACCCAGGTAGTCTATGGTTTTAACTGGGGAGCCTGGACTGGATTCCAGACCCCCAACTCTGTTCCCCGGGAATGTTTGGCACCACAGCGCTCATGACCAGTGGGAACACTGTTGTGCCAGGCAGGACCCGGACACCCTCACTCCCAGCGCCCCCTGCTCTGACCAGATGCTTCCACATTGAGACTGAGCCAGGAGGACCTCTCTCATCTGCCCCTCAGTGGCTGGCCACGGGCCAGGCCCTCCACAGCCCCAGATGGACCTTTCCAAGTCCTTCACGGCCCCCAGCCCTGCTGAGCCTCCCTCAGGTGGCTGTCCACACATGGCCCCTCCCTGACATCCCCAGTTCAGGGTACCTTGAGTTTCCGGGGCAGGCGGGGCCGTTTCTCCCGCTTGGGCCTCAGGGGGCTGGGCTCGGGCAGCTGCAGGGCCAGGTAGTCAGAAGGGAGTGGGGGGTAAGGGGGAGAGGCCAGCTGCTGGTGGGTGTAGGGGTGAAGATGAGGATGGAGTGGGGCAGGGTGGGGTGGAGGGGAGAAATGCACACAGGAAGAAGAATGGAAAACAAAAGAGATGGTGATGAGTGTGGCTCCCAGGCTCCTGGAGACAGAAGGGGAAAGGACAGCAGCAGGACTGCTCTCCTCAGGCACGTCTGTCCCCTATTCCTACACCAGAGACAAGTGGGCAGCCCTGACTCACACCCTCCCAGGGATACAGCTGGCCACAAAGGACAGAAGTCCCCTGCGTGGGGCTGGCCTCACGCGAGACTTGGCCTCCTGCCCACGTGATGCCCACCTCACTCCCAGGCATTTTAGGCAACTCACCGAGCTCAGGTATGGGGAGGGTGTCCCAGAGGCCTGGAGGGGAAACCCTGACGTGGGCGGCAGGGAGAGGCTGGACGGGGAGGGCGTGGCCGCCAGCGGGGGGCTCCTCTTCCTAGAGGAAGGACAGGGGCTCAGAGGCCTCCGAGGCCCATGCCCTCCGGCCCAGGGGAGGCCGCCTCTCCTTACCTCTTAGGGGCTGGCGTGTCCGGTAGCTTGGGCGTCCCCTCGGCCTCACTGTTCTCTGAAGATGCCGTGGCATCTGAGTCTGCGGGGTGGGGGGGCTTGTCAGCGGGGCTGGGGCCATCCGTGTTCTCAGAGGGGAGGCTGTGCACCAGGAGCCCCTCAGCGTGGCAGCCACTTCCTGCTCTGTCTTCCCTCACAGGCCATCAAGCACAGACCGTGTGCCAGCCCCCTCTGCAGTCCTCACAGCCCTCCAGGGAAGACAGGAAGGGGACACCTCTGCTTTCCAAATGAGGTCAGGGGCCCAGAGAGCAAGGTATGGGGCTGGGGCTTGAACTTGGCTGTCATTCCTTGACCATTTTATGCCACTCTCTCCTTGTTTGCCTCTACGCTGCCTTCAATTCCTGCCTCTGCTTCCCCTACCCAGGGTCCTGTTAATCTACCCCCCAAACCTCTCCTTTCATCACATATTACAAATAGACAAATCCTTTTTTTTTTGGAGACAGGGTCTCACTAGGTAACCTGGCCTCGAACTCCCACTGACCCTCCTGCCTCAGCCTCCTGAGCACTGGGATTACAGCTATGCCCACCACACCAAGCATACAATTAAAAAATTTAAAAAAATCTTTCTTACTTTCATTCGTGGCAGCCCCCCTAACTTCTGCAGACCAGACCACTGCCCTGTACAATCCCTGCTCAGCAGGCTATAGTCTGTGACTGTCCATGCTCACTGCAGCACTACAGCACAGAACCTTCCTCAGCCTTCCACTGAGCCACATCCTCAGTCCCCTTTTTATTTTTTTGGTTTTTTTTTGAGACAGGGTCTCACTATGTAGTTGAGACTGACCTCAACTCACTATGTATCCCAGGCTGGTCTCACACTCACATCAATCCTCCTGCCTCAGCCTCCCGAGTGCTGGGATTACAGGCATGTGCCACCACACCAGGCAGTCCACTTTTTATTTTTGAGGTCAGAGTTTGACTACACTGTACAGACTGGTCTCAAATTTGTGATTGTACTGTCTTGTCCTTCTAAATAGCTAGGATTACAGGCATGACTCTCTAAGCCCAGCAGTGGTGCATTTTGTTTTTTTATATATATTTTTTGGTACCACGGATCAAACTCACGACCTTGCACTTATGAGGTAGGTGTGGTGCCACTGAGCTAAATCCCTGGCCCAGTTTTTTATTCTGGGTTCAACATAAACATACCTTTCCAGTTGCCAACAAAACTGTTTTCTGGTGTGCTCTTTTTGAAGCACTGGGGACTGAACCCAGGGCCTTGCACACAGTAAACATGTGCTGTCCCACTGGGCCATACCTCCAGCCCCCTAACTATTCTCTTTACATCCTACCAACCTCTCTCCTCAAACAGAAATTTCCCAGGCCAGTGCTTCTGCCAGAAAGCCTACAATTCATTTAACAACTGCTACAAGACATGTGCTTCCCAATTTCACTGTTCAGATAGGATCCTTTAAAAGGCAGATTGAGGGGCCGGGGATTTAGCTCAGCGGTTCGGTGGCCTGCCTTGCAAGTGCAAGGACCTGAGTTCAATCCCCGGTACCAAAAAAAAATAAAAATAAAAGGCAGATTGAGGGGCCGGGGATTTAGCTCAGCGGTTCGGTGGCCTGCCTTGCAAGTGCAAGGACCTGAGTTCAATCCCCGGTACCAAAAAAAAATAAAAATAAAAGGCAGATTGAATGCCATCTCTTCAGAGAAGCCTTCCAGAATCCTGCTAACCTGTTAAGTGCCAGTTCTCCTCCTACTCTCATGCTCAGGGCATGGCGTGGACTCCGCAGGACTGGAGTGGAGGCCTACATCTCTGGCTCATGCTCCTCAGATTTAGTCCAGTGTAACCATGAATGTGCTGGGTCCCCTCAGGCCTCCTGTCCTGAATTTCCCCTCAAACAGGAAGTTAACTAGAACAAAGGGAAGTGAGAAGCAGAAAAAAGGGGACAGAATAAAGCCACTTTCTGCCATGGACAGGCCTCTACCATGACCTATGTAAGGAGTCCCTGCCTACTTCTCTAACCTTACAATAGTAAGCCCTGCCAGTCCTCGAGCTTAACCCCTGTAACAATAAGTGAATAATGGGTTTATGGACCAATAAAACATTATCTACAGAAACAAGCAGCCTATGCCAATCCCTCCCCTAGATCAACGTTTAAAAGTACACTTAATGTGATGATCTTATCAGGGCCCTACTTGGGAGGAGGAGGCCCATAAATGTCCACCACAGAACTTTTCAAACTGTGGACTTCAAACCATTCGTGATCATGGAATCAATTTTGTCAGTTTACTACTAGCATTAGAACAGAAGACAAAGCTAAGTGTGGTGGGGTATACCTATACTCTCAAAACTTGAGGAGGCTGAGGCAAGAGGACTGCAAGTTGGGACACCAGCCTGGGCAATTTATTAAGACTCTGTCACAAAATAAAAAATTTAAAAAGGGGGCAGGGGATTTAGCTCAGTGTTTCCGCTGCCTACCTTGCAAGCTAAGGGCCCAAGTTCAATTCCTGGAACCAAAAAAATAAAAAATAAAAATAAAAAAGGCTAGGGAGGTATTCCTCAGATCCAGTGTGAAGGCCCTGGACTCAAACCCCAGTATTAAAAAGGGGGGGGGGGATAGCCTTTAAAAAATCAGAATAAGTTGCATTTAAAAATCTTTAAAGTGCTTCATAAAAATTTTTTTATACATATGAATATGGGGACTTGATCATGATGTAAAAGGTATAGTTAATTGTAATCAATAATAAAAAGTTAGAAAAACAGCATTTGTTATGCTTATCTCTTTATTAAGGCAAACCAGCCTGGCTCACTCTTACCTCAGGGAGCTCGCCCATTCATAATGTTGCTGAGAAAGTTCTAGCTTGGACTTCATTTGACTGGTTTCTTCTTGTCTAGCTCCTAGCTTCCCACTCAGACATTTCCCAAAAAGGCCTTTCCTATGAGCACGCCAGTCACGACAGTATCTGCGGCTCTGTAGTCTGTACCTGTAGCCTGCAAGCTAAGAATGGCTCTGACATTTTTTTAAAAAGTTTGTTTTTGGGGTACTAGGGGTTGAACCCAGGGCCTTCACACTGACTGACTTACACTCCAGCCCATTTTTAAATTTTCTTCTTTTAAAGACTAGGTGTTGTGCTAAGTTGCTAAATTGTCCAGCCTGGGTTTCAACTTTGGATCCTCCTGCTTTAGCTCCCAAGAGTGCTAAGATTATAAAAATATGCCACTATCCCCAATTTCTCTGGATCTTTAAAAATGTAAAAGCTGGCTGGGCGTGGTGGCGTATTACTGTAATCCCAGCACTTAGGAGGCTGAGGCAGGAGGATTGCTGTGAGTTCAAAACCAGCTTGGGCTACACAGTGAGTTCCAGGTCAATCTCAACTACACAGTGAGACCGTTTCAAAAAAAAAAAAAAAAGTAACGGCTGGGTATGGTGTAACATGTCTTGTTATTCCAGCACTTGGGAGGCTGCGGTGGGAGGATCACTCTAAGTTTGAGACCACCCTGAATTACATAGTTCCTCAACTCCAAAGCAACACCGTGCCTCAAAAAAAAAAAAAAAAAAAGTAAAAGCTGCTGGGCATGACACTGTACAACTGTGACCCCAGTACTCTGAGAGCCTAAGGCAGGAAGATCAAAAATTCAAACCAAGCCTGGGCAATTTAGCAAGATGCTGTCTCAAATGGAACTGTGTGGGTGGGGTTGTCAGCAGCTGGAAATGTAGCTACTGCAAAGGCTGTAAGTTTCAGTCCCAGTATTGAAAAAAAAAAATCATATTTCATGGCAAATACATGAAATTTGAATATACAATTCAAATTACAGTATCAGTAATATTTTATTAAAACACAGTTGAGTGCATTTATTTATATGTTGGCTATGGCTGTTTTGACACAAGCTAAGCAGTTTTTTCAAAGATAGTATAGTCCAAAAAGTTTAAATTATCTAGCCCTTTGCAAAAAGAATTTGTCAGTCCCTGTCCTAGTCTAACCACTACCACATAACCCTGTTTCATCCCTTCCAATCCACTCGACTATCTAAAATTTTAGTTGGTTACTTTGTTTACTTATTTCCCCCAATAGAATACAAATTATAATAGATTAAGGGTTTGTACATCTTTGCTACTGTTGTATCCCCCGTGCCAAGCTCAGCACTGGCAACACAGTAGGTGTTCAATGAACACTTGAAGGAAGAGTTGAAGACACAAAGAAGCAAGCAGGCCCAGGGTCACTGGAGAATGCACGCGCTAATACAGCCTAAGAGGAAGGCCAAGGACCATACCCTCCTCTCAACTTTTCATAACCTTGCTCACCGGACGAGTCTTCATCCACGTTCTCATACTGCAGAAGTCGATCTAGGAGGAAACTGAGAAAAGAAGGAAAAAATACTTGTTTCTACCCAGCAGTGCTGCCATGGGCCCCTGCCCCTCCTACAGGTCCCACTGGGTGCCGCAAACGTGCTTCCTCACCTCTTGTCCCGCGACACCTTCAGCAGCTTCCTCTGCGCCTTCCTCAGCTCCTCCTGGAAGCACTCGTGCTCCTGCAGGGAGGGCAGGGCCGGGGCTGTGCTGCGCCTGGCCCGCCCGGGACTCTCGCCCTACCCCCTCTCCACAGGGGCCAGAACTCAGGCACAACCTCCCCACCCCAGCACTCACGTAGATAAGAAACTTGAGCTTCCGCTTCAGATTCCGGTATTTCTTTTTGTAGTCCACTTCGCCGTCCGCCGGCCCGTTCATGGCCAGCCCGGGGGCAGCGCCCTAACGTTGCGAGTCCCGCTACCTTGAGCCAGCTCAGCACGGGATCTCACACCCTTCACTTCCGGAGACTCTGCGAGGTTGCGTACGCACGGACTACAACTCCCGGCAGGGCTGGCGCGGGGGTGCGTAACCACGGGAACGGCGCCGCTGGGGAAAACCCGGAAAGGAGAGCGGATTCCAAGTGGCCACACTGAAGATGGCGGGGCAGGCGCTCTGCGACGTCACGGAGATGGCGGACGCTGGCGGGCGCAGTTAGCGAGTCTAAACGAGCTTGGAGATTTGGAGTCACAGAAAGATCTCCCTCAATATTCCTAGTCTCCTGGCTGGGGTCCCCTTTCTCTCTTGCCTTTCGAAATAACAGCGGCCTTGCTGGTGTCCGTGACCACGGAGGAAGCTGGCGTCGCGAGCTGATTACGTACACCCAAAGGTTATCGGTAAAGAATCGGTTTCTAACGAAAACTGTAAAAACGATTCGTTCTAACAAAAGGTTGGTGCTTCGAGACCCTCCAGCTGCCTGGGAAAAGCAACTTTTGTCTGGCAAAGTTCTCGGCCCACAAACCGAGGGCCAACTGCGCGCAAACTGCTCTCCTGCGGCTGACGGAGGCCGAGAAGAAAAAAGGCGGGAGCCTCCAATCCCGGGTAAAGCAAAATGGCTCGGGAGAATGAGCTGCGGGAGTTCACGCACTGCTTCTTCCGAGGCCGTCCTGACCTCAGGTGCACAGGGACTTGGAGTTAGGGATAGAAAGGGTCAGGGTGGGGCGGGGAGCCTGTCTTCACTCTTGTCTCTGTAGCACGCTCACGCACTCCATCGTGCGGCGGAAGTTCTTGGCTCACACGGGTCGCAACCATTTGGAACCCGAGGAGAAGCAGGCGCTGAAGCGGCTGGTGGAGGAGGAGCTACTGAAGATGCAGGTGTGTGAGTCCGAACCTGGGCCCCAGGGAGTGTGTTGCCCAGGAGGTGGGCAGGACACAACGTTGGTACCTTTTGCCCTCTTGGTGTACACAGATGGATGAAGCTGGTACCGGGCAAGAGAAGGCAGACCTCACTAAAAAGGTGAAGAGGCCTCCCACCCACTGCAGTGTTCAAGAAAGAAAAAGATTACGCTTCAGTTCAGAATCAGGTTAGTGCCTCTTGCTATCTGTGCATTTTTCATCACTGGATCATTCAGAAGACGTTTACGGTTAAGATTTGAGGCCACTGAGTCAGGAACCAGGAATACGGTGCAGTGGTAGTTGTTTCCTGCTGCCCTCTCCACTGTCCAAGCAGGGCTCAGAAACAGCCTTTCCCTTGGCCAGGTGCGGTGGCACACACCTGTAATCCCAGCACTAGGGAGGCTGAGGCAGGGGGATCCCTGTGAGTTTGAGACCAGCCTGGGCAACCTAGTGAGTTCCAGGTCAGTCTCAACTACATAGTGAGACCCTGCCTCAAAAAAAAAAAGCCTGTCCCAGATGGGAGCTGATGGGACAGGAGGAACCCATCCCAACTCCCTCTTCTCCATATTCCAGCTTCCAGGTCCCTAGTCTCCAGTCAAGACTGCTTTGAATGCCCAGCAAAGAATGGGATGGCAGAAGCAGAAATCATCCCAGCCAAGGAGGAGCATCTAAGGCAGGCCTCAAAGAAAGCAGTTAAGAGCAGTGATGAAGAACAGCAAGGGGACCAGCCTGTAAAGCAGCCTACAAAGATGAGATTAGACAGCAGTGAGGAGGAGGAGGAGGGGGAGGGCTCTGTAAGAATAAGAAAGATCTTGAAGGCAAAAGACAGCCAGAAAGATGAGGAAGAAAAAGAGTGTAAGCGCAGGAGTACAAAGAAACGCAAGACCAAGAATGAGCAGGCACCAGGCAAGACCTCAGCCAGTAAGCAGCAGACAAGGGAGGAAAGTGAGGACAGTGAGGAAGAGCCTGTCCAGAGCAGAACCAAGAAGTCTGGGGGAAAGAGAGAAGCTAAAAGCCATGAGGAAAGTGAGGAGAGTGAGGTGGAGGAGTGCCTAGCCACAAAGAAAGAGAACATGGGGGATAAGGACAAACAGGAGGATGAAGGGGAGGATTGGAAACCCAGAGCTAGGAGCAAAGGAGGTCAAAAGTCAGCTTTGGAAGGGAAGAGTTGTAAGCAAGAAAGCAGGGCAGGGAGGCTGAGTGATTTAGGGGACAGTGGGGAAGAGAGAGAGGCAGCAGGCAATGGAGATAGCAGTGGGGGAGGCAGAGAGCCTCCAGTACACAGGAAGGGCAAGGACAGGACCCAGGGTCAGGGTAGGAAAAGGCAGAACAGAAGCAGCGAGGATGAAGACAGCTGCAAGGTGCAAGCACCTGCTCAAGGCTCTGCAAAGACAGCCAAATTGGGCAGTGCCAGTGGTGAGGAAAGTGACTCAGAAAGGGAGATAAGTGACAGCGAGGCAGGGGGGAGACTTAAGGGAGAAAGGAAGAACCACTCTTCCAAGAAGAGCTCTAAGAAAGGCAGAACTCGAAGCTCCTCTTCTGATGGAAGTCCAGAGCCCAAAAGCAGGAAGGTGAGGGTGCAGACAGGGGGGAGCCATTGCCAGGGAAAAGGGAGATGCCTGCAGGATGGGCTTTCAACTGCTTTCTTTGCCAGGCTAGTTCTGGTCGCCATGGAGAGGACCACCCAGCTGTGACCAGGCTGAAGCGCTACATTCGGGCCTGTGGTGCCCATCGAAACTATAAAAAGCTGCTGGGATCCTGTTGCTCACACAAGGAGCGCTTGAGTGTACTCCGGGCGGAGCTGGAGGCCCTGGGCCTGAAGGGTGAGGTGGGCTGTGTCCTGGGGGCTGGTGGAGGCTTTGGCTTCAGTGGAGGAGAGGATCACAAGCTGCTTCTGCCCCAGGTAACCCTTCCTTAGAGAAGTGTCGTGCTCTGAAGGAACAGCGGGAAGAGGCAGCAGAGGTGGCTTCCTTGGATGTTGCCAATATCATCAGCAGTTCAGGTGAGGGTCTCCTCTCCCTCTGCCTGGAAGTGGATGGGGTTGGACTTTTTCAGGCAGCTGACCTCCCCTTGCCCCCCCTCAGGCCGGCCACACAGGCGGACGGCCTGGAACCCTTCAGGAGAAGCAGCTCTGTCTGAGGAGCTGTACCGCCGGACCCTGGACTCAGAGGAGGAGCGGCCTCGCCAGGCGCCCCCTGACTGGTCACACATGCGAGGCATCATCAGCAGTGATGGCGAGAGCAACTGAGTACTTCTGTCTCCCAGGAGGAACCCTTTCCATGTGTGTATGCAAAGTGCTCTCAACCTGCAAAGCAAAAACGTTTTCATGGAGACTACAGCCCCAGGGGCAGAAACTGTTCAGACTGCTTCTCAGCTTCATGGTCCCCATTAGTTAAGGTGTTCAGATGGTCTTATTTTTTGAGACTCAATAAAGGAGTGTTTGTAATCACCTCATCAGAAGCAGTCCTCTGTTCTTATATACCCAATGATTTGGAGTGGGAAGCTGAGGAGCAGCCACTGCTACTGGTAGGCAGGCGTCTACAGGTTCTCCATCCAAAGTCTGCCACCAAGCCGGGCCTGGTGGCGCCCGCCTGTGACCCCAGTACTTGATTGCTTCAAGTGTAAGCCCAGCCTGGACTACATAGTGAAACCCTGTCTGCTGTCGGCCATGTCAGAGAAGGGGGTGGCTCCTAGCTTTCCTGCAGGCTGAGCAGTGGGCCCCTCTGGTTACCCTGCTCTTAGCTAGGTCCATAACTGACGTGCAGATGGGAAGATGATCTCCCAAATGGCCTGAATGTGAATACAAACCGACTTGGGGACAGTCGGCCTTGCATCCTGTTCACAGCCACTTAGTCCAGGCTAAAGAATGGGTATAGACGTAGACCTCTTCGCCTAACCAGGGCCTGCAGGTTAGAACTCTGTTGCTGTTGAGGCAGTGAAATTAAGTGTAGAGCTGCCAGGGATCTGAGTGTGAAGTAGGCCTTCTGAGAATCTGACACCAGAGCACAGGAAAGCAGAGGAATTAAGCAGTCAAGAGGCTGAGGACCTCTGAGGTCCTGACCCAGTCGTGGCTGCCTGAAGGCATTAACATCACTGAAGTTTTCAGCTATACAGCCCCGTGTATGAATACAGGAACACTGTCACCTGCACTGACCGGCCCATCACACCCACCTCAGACAGAAAGGGTGAGTCCCGGGATCTGTCAGAATAACCAACGGTTTATTAAAAGCTTGCCTGGGGCTCTGTGCTAGCCCCACAGCTGAGGGGCTCCCGTCACTGCCCCGGGCTCAGGAGCAGCCCTTTCCAAGATCCTTCCCTCCTTCCCCTGCCCCAACCCTGACCCAATTAAAAAAAAAAAAAAAAAAAAAAGACAAGACGGCACAGGACTTCAGACAGCAACGGGGATGGAGACAGGCACCCCAACAGACCCCTCTGGTCCTCCTGTCCGGAGGGCTTCGCATTCGAGCCCCTAGGGCCCCATCCTGTTCTGCCACACCCCAGGTCTGGGGGTCCTGTTGCCCAGCCGCGGGAGGGGAGTATAATTCTCTGAATATGATATAGCGAGACCCGCCCTGCCTCCCCCCAGGGGACGAGATGAGCATCCGCGCACAGCTCCCTGCTCTCCTGGGGGGAGAGGAGGCCCTGGCACCATGGTGGGGAGGCGGGGCTCCTGGTCAGACTCAGGCACTGACACCCAAGCTGGCCCAGCGCCACCAGCCGGCCCCAAGAAGCTCATGAGATGAGAAGTCCGAGGGGAGCTGGACCCACACTGTCCCTACCACCCTCAGGTGGGCCTTCAGGAGTAGAAGTGGGAGGAGCCGTTGAGGATGTGGGAAGCCACGCTAGTGCTGCGGCTCAGAGGCCCAGGTACCGTCGCTGCGGGGGGCCCCACGTTCTCGCTGCCGCTACCCCCCGAGGCTGCCCGTCGGAGGGGCTGGGGGCTGTTCCTTAGCAGCAGCAGAGCTCCACCACGGGGAGTCCCACTCTGTGTTGGGGGCCCCAGCCAGTTTGGGGGTCCGGGGGGAGCCAGCAGAGCTGGCTGACGCCAGGCTGGGGGGGGCATGCCCGGCGGAGGAGGGCCGTGGCTCCAGTGAGCCCCTGAGCGGGGAACTGGCCGGGAAGGCCAGGCAGGGGCAGGGGGTGGGGCAGGGTAGCCCTGGGCAGCAGCCTCGGCGGGGATGCCCCCCAGAGCCATGCTGGAGAAGCCCAGCCTCATGCTCTCAGCATCAAAGGCCTCGATCTCACGGGCCTGCCGCTCAAGCAAACTCCGGATCCGCTCGGAGCGCCCGGTCTGCAGTGCCAGCAGCTCTTCTTCCACCTGGAGCACCCAGAACAATGGTTAGGGTCCTGAGGGGGGCGCTGGCCTCCTGCCCGGCCCCAGGGTCCCACCCCTTACCCTCTGCTCCAGCAGTGCCCGCCGCAGCGTCACCCTCTGCTCCAGCTCCCGCAGCTCCCGCTCGTGCTGGCTTTCTGTGCGGATCTTGATCTTGCTCTGGTAAGCGTTGAGCAGCTCCAGCTCCTGTTGGAGCTGCTGCCGAAGGGCCTGGAACTCTGCCTCCTGGGTCTCATCAAGCCGGAGCTGGAGGACAGGAAAACCAGTTTTAGGGACCTCCTGCCCTGCCCCACAGTCCTCCCCTGCCCTAGGTAGGTCTGGGCCCTAAGGTTGCAAGAAGCAGCGGTCTCAACTGCTATCAGAACGGAAGAAGGTCAAACCCTGTGCACAGCAATTACACTTGGAGGAATCTATCCCCCCGGTGTACTTGCACCTGTGCTCGGTGTTCACGAAGTGTTGGGATAGCAAAATACTGGAAACAACCTAAATATCCATTAATAAAGGATGGGTTAAATGAGTTATGGCACAGCCATACCATGGAAAATCCTACACTGTAAAGAGAGAGAGAGAGAGATAGAGAGAGAGAGAGGTGTACTGCCATGGAAAGATGTCCAAGAAATAGTAAGTGTAGGGAGTTAAGAGAATAACGTGTAAGATAGAATTTCACATGTGTTTAAAATTTTTATAATTTTCCAAGAATGCACTGGAAAGAATCTAGACCATAACCATCAGGTTACCTCTGAGAGGTGGGGCAGGGAATGGGGCCTTGGGACTCGCCCGTGTGGTGAAGCCCACTCCAGTGCTGTATGTGGCAGTGTGTACAATAGCGATACCCTAGAGCTCCCAGGCCAAGCGAAGCGGCCCAGCGGCCCACTCAGTGTAAGTGCTCCCTGTTCACAAGTTAAACTAACTCAGGCCCAGGAAAACACTATAGCCACTTTTCCTTGATGATTCTTGGTAGGCAGGATGGCTTTATCAAGACCTTAAGAAAATGCTAAGAGAAATAATAAAACCATTAAGAATATGAAGTAATAAAACCATTGCAGTGAAACAGCATCCCAGTTTCTTGGGGACAAAAATCCCCAGCTCCATCCATACCTCCCACTTTCGCGCCCATGGCCGCTCTCCCGACCTCTCCCGACACCCAGGCCTCACCGCCTGCGAGCTGAGCATCTCTGAGATGGACTGGTCATACTGCTCAGCCAGGATCGCCAGCTTGCGGGTCTGTTCTTCCTTGAGCCGCTTAAGGAGGCTCTTGTGCTGAGCCTTAGGCGTGGTCTCCAGCAAGTGTGCCCGCAGAGCCTTGTACTGCCGAGTCTGGATCTTACACGTCTCCTGGAACTGCTTCTTGATCTGCAGCTCTTTAGACTGCGCAGTGGGTGGATCAAGGGAAAATGGGGGCAAAGGCGAGGGGGAGGAAGAGGAGGAGAAGGAAGAGGAGGAACACCAGGGGAAATGGGGAGAAGAGAAGGAGAGGAGGAGACAGAAGCAGAGACAGGGAGAGGGAGAGAAACAGAAAACATGTTAGACAGAGGGGGCGGGGGAGCTGTATACAGACAGGTGTGGAGAGATGGGGTTGTGTGGAGAGGTCAGGAAGGTCTCGATGGGCGAGAGATGCAGGGAGGACAAGACAGATTCCGAGAGCACATCCAGAGTTGGGAGAAATACCATGGGAAGAAACGTCAGAGTTCACAGACGAGGAACTGAGACGCTTTAGAGGACTGAATGCACAAAAGAAACTTTCAGCATGCAAAGAGGAAGAAAATATGACCTTGGATAGAAGCACACGAGCAAATATAAGAATGTGCAAAGGAATGAGTGAGAACACCAAGTCACACCGAACACCCACGGAGAAGTCAACACAACGAAGGACAAGAAGTCCCGGGTCCAGCACCTCAGGGAGGAAGGCAGGGAAGGAGACGCACTGAGCTGAAAAATGGGTAAGAAGGGGTTGCCCTTTCATGGGCCACAGAAGGGAAAGGTGGCCAGAAAGGGCCCGACAACTCCATAGGCCAACAGCTGCTACCCTGCCTAGACGCACAGTCCAGCCCGGCTCCTACACACTCAGCTCCCATCCGAGTCCACAGCCAATCCAGTGCCAGGGCCACACTCTACCTGGACCCTCGCTCACTACCCTCGACTGTGGAGGGTGTGCTACCCCGTCCCCCAGCCCTCTGGGCTAATGCCTGAGCAGGGGACACGCAGCTCCCAAACAGAAGGGGACCACAGAGGTCATGGGCTGGTAGAAAAGGAGATGAAAGGACCTGGACCCTAAAGGGCCTCCTGGAAGCGACCCACAGCAAGGGCCCCGTGGGACGGGAAGCTGTGTGGAAGCTCCGCATGGGCCCTGAGCCCAGGTCTGCTGGTGGTGGTGGTGCGATGAAGCTATGAATGCAGAGAAGATGAAGCCGAGGAGTGAAAGGGACTGAGATAACGTAGATGGGAGGGAGGTCATGGAGCTGGGGGCCAAGGGTCCAGATCGGGGGCAAACCAGGGAGGCTAGGCGGCAGGACAAAGCAGACAGAGGCAGCCTGGGCCAAAGGTACAGTTCCGCTCAGATATTTTATTTGTGTTTGTCTTTTTCTCTTCTTTTTTGGTGAGGGAGAGGGGAACAGGTTGGAAGGGAGACAGAAAAACAAAATCAAAGAGGAGGAAAAAAAAAAAACAAACCAGTCATGACTCTTCCCACCCTCTCACCCCTGGCCCCAGGCCTGAGTCGATGAGGGTGAGGATGAGCACACACAGCGGGAGAGCAGCAATAACTTAGGGGCGGGAGGATACACAGTGCGGCTTCTGGACTCCACAGTGGAGGGGCTGCTGTCTAGAAGCTGAAAGGCTGTGCTTGGTGGGGTGCGCACTGAGGACGGAGGGTGGGAGGGAGGCGGGGCTGGGGACTGGAAACTTCACTGAGTGCTGGGAGATAAAGTGCTTGATGCTCTACATTTGGGCAGGGACAGGCTAGAGCTGGTTACCTCCAGGGAGGCAGGGTCCGGAACTGGCGGGTCCGGGATCGCCTCCCAGCTAAAGTCCCTGGTGGTGGCTGGCGGCAGGCAGGGGGCCCAAGCCGGCGCTGGCTACGTGGCAGCAGCCGGGGAATCCGACTGGGCCGTTC